TAGAGTGATATGTCTCATTTTAGAAAATCAAACTCACCTTAACATAGTTCATAAGCGCATAGCTTGTTTCAGCATTGTCCTGTGTTTCAATAAATAACAGCTTATACCGCAGTAAGGTGTCCACGATGCCTTGATCATACCACGAAGCGACTACGGACTCAAGATAGAGATAAGAAGTAAAGAAACAAACAATGCCATCGGGAACTGTCTTCGCCGTCTCCACCAGCAATTGGCCATAGTTGCGTATGACTGCTGTATCCTCACGTGTTTCGAATTTCGAGGAAATCGCCACCTGATCATTGCCCTTCGAAACAATCTGCATAAGAAATTACAGTGAACGTTCAAATTAGAGCAGTCTAGATCGCTGGGAGGTACTCACCATTGGCAGCAAACAAGGACGTGCCAGCGTCATTGTGAATGAACTCATTATAACTGGGTCGAAGTCTAAAATTTTCGGATACATGTCCATAGGCGAAAGTGTGCCTGATGTAATTACGACCGTTTGAAAGCGTTTGAACACAGGCGCCATGGCTATGGAAGAGTCCAAGCAGCTAAAGTGCAGTATGGGATTTATTACGGTCGGCGTTTTATCATCGAAAGGCTCTACAATTATTGTGAAACCTTTGGTATAGGTAGAAACTAAAGTAGCAAAATGTGTTATCTGCAGATGAATTTTACCATTTATGATCATAAGTCTATGTTTGCTTTCTTTATTTCTATTACCAATGTCAGCGCGCCATATTCTGTCATGTCGTTAATTTCCAATGTTCGCAGCAGGCTGGCCAGTCGTTCGGCACAAAAACGCAATGGCTTACGTTCGATGCAAATTTTCGTAGCTACATCCTTTAGGAAACCAGCGGGTGACTCCTGCACAACATGATGTACACGTAGACGTGTTTTAATATACTCTACAAATCGACGCAGAAAACTGAGGAAATGGTCAGCGTTACGTATATTGCCGGGCACAGCCTCTGAAATTTAAAGTAATACACAAATTGCGTTTAAGTCATTTTAACCNAAGAGTCCAAGCAGCTAAAGTGCAGTATGGGATTTATTACGGTCGGCGTTTTATCATCGAAAGGCTCTACAATTATTGTGAAACCTTTGGTATAGGTAGAAACTAAAGTAGCAAAATGTGTTATCTGCAGATGAATTTTACCATTTATGATCATAAGTCTATGTTTGCTTTCTTTATTTCTATTACCAATGTCAGCGCGCCATATTCTGTCATGTCGTTAATTTCCAATGTTCGCAGCAGGCTGGCCAGTCGTTCGGCACAAAAACGCAATGGCTTACGTTCGATGCAAATTTTCGTAGCTACATCCTTTAGGAAACCAGCGGGTGACTCCTGCACAACATGATGTACACGTAGACGTGTTTTAATATACTCTACAAATCGACGCAGAAAGCTGAGGAAATGGTCAGCGTTACGTATATTTCCGGGCACAGCCTCTGAAATTTAAAGCAATACACAAATTGCGTTTAAATCATTTTAACTTTAATTCCAAACTGACCCTCAAGCACATCTGCGGGCAGTACGGGATTGGCCATTACCATATCGGTTTCACGTTGCACCAGCGCATCTTTTAAACCTTGCACCATGCGTTGGTACTCTTCATTCAATCGGTTGG